TTTTTGGTATCTTTCGACAAAATTTTTTGGTGACCTGTAAAATGTTAAGTTTGCCTGTTCGGGCAAAATACACTGTCCCCCCCCAAATAAGACTGGTCCCGTACGCCCATGGTTGTTTCACTCAACTTCTGAACTTGTACATTCCGTATCGGACAGGTGCTTTTTCGCGCCGCTATACGGAAAGCTATCCCGTCTAGCATGAACGTAGCCTTGTTTTCGTTTGGTCAGGCCACGAGAATTGAGAAAACTCTTATACAAACTCGTATCAAACTTGCTTGCAAACTCTCATCAACTCTCAGACTGCGTTTGACCAGGGCTTTATTCACGAAGTAGCGATTTATAGTTACAACTTTCAAAAGTCGCTATGCACATTGTTTAGACTGTCTATAGATTCTCAAACGTGAGTTGGAAGACAGTACCCCCAAAATGGCGGGTATTGTCCCATCACATAGCTTGATATACGCATTTTGCTGCTTAAAAACAAAACGTTCCGCAAATCCAATGTTTACAAATGAAGGGGGGGAAGGGATATCCTTTATTCTAATTTTATAATTCAAACTAATAGTGCACTAATTATTGTTATAATATATTCGTGTAAATAAATTTTGATTTGAAATGCTAAATCCTATTATAATAATAGTATATAAAGCTATATATATACAACAATAAAATAAAACATCAACCTTCGTCAAAGTTGTTATTTTTCTTTCGTCAAAGTTGTTATTGGCGTACGTGCCAGACACGTGACAGCTTTGCTCTTTTCACTATGCATATTCCCGGGATGCCTTGCGCTGTTACTCACGCGCGCAGCACGCGCAGTTGTCGCGCGGCATCACAGAATCCTGAATACATTAAATTTAGGTCGCTCCGCCCATGAATAGAGTGAATCGTACAGTGTTGACGGAATCATTTATTCGCATTATAGAAATGCTAAAAATACCAACGCTTGTTTTAATTTAGAATTTCAAGACATTTATAGATGCATGTCAGTCATTGAGTGTGGGTGATTGAATGTGGATTACACCTCTACGGAAATGCGCAACTTTTAGATCGAGTTCTACCAAACCTCTTTCCGTTGCGCTCGGAAGCAGGTGCGGAAAATCGTCAGATCAAATGGAGTAGCCTTTCCTGTTTCCGGTCACCGGCCGAAATCGCATTTCATGACAATGTCATTCTACACAAGCTTCGATTACGGATTGATGTGGCAATGAAGGTCACAGCAAAGAGCACCGGTGAACTGACGTCGACCAAAAATTAAAGCCGTCCCAAATTGGAGTTATTAAATCGAGCCTGGTTTCCTTTAGTCGTGACCGGTGTTGGCCATGTCAAAGTAGCCGATGTAATAGTGTCGATATACGGTCAGATATACCGAAAGCTCTCTAATATATATCGACATATTTCTAATATGGACACCTCTCTAATACTGACATCTCTCTAATACGGACATTATTGGGCAATTCAAATCCCATCTATTTACTTATTACCAAATCGAGCGGAAAAAAGTGTGAAAAATTGATGTTTCACAAACGTTCATAACAACATGTGTAAAATGTCATTCGTGTCATCCCTTGATCCGGCATTGTACAGTCTGTACAGTCTTTCTGATAATCTGTAAAAATGTGTTGTCAGTAATTTGCACACAATACTGTATGTTCCTATACTTGGTCGTTTATGGTTAATGTCACCACAGTTAATAGACGTTGACGAGGATTGTAAGTAAATAAGTAAAAATAAATCAGTAAATAATACTGACAAGTTTCTAATACGGACATCTCTCTAAAGGCAGGTTCACACTATATCAAAGTTTCTGTGATCACAGTAGAAAGTTTACATAGGTAAATTCTAAGTTTCGAAGGATTTGTAATCAGTGTTAGACACCGAGTCAGATCCCTCAAACATTTATTCCAAATCTTTCAAAACTTAATCTTACGCCCGTATTCTAAAAGCTCACTCACACTCAATGAGTGGAGATTCAATCTGAGCTTCTCTCGAGTGTCAATCAGTGCTGTTTTGAATAGCTGGAGGGTTAGTGTCGTATACCTTACGATGTGTCTACTCAACACTCCAGCTATTCAAAAACAGCATTAACACTCAAGAGAAGCTCAGATTAATTGAACCTCCACTCATTGAGTGTGAGTGAGCAGTTTTAGAATACAGGCGTTAGAATCGGCAGTACCTATGCAAAATTCCTCCTGTGATCACAGAAACTTTGATATGGTGTAAACCTGCCTTAATACTGACATTATGTTCCAAGTTCACTGTCCAAAATCTTGATACAAAATTCACAGGCACTGATATACATGCATTTCCAAAGTCTTAACATCCATGATTCTCATGATATATTCTATTTTAAGAAAACTTCTAGACACTTATATACCTATTCAAATACCTATACCTATTATCAAACCGCCTAACAGTCTAAAGGTCCCAAAATATCAAATGTTATGGCTCGACTATATGTAACTATATATATATATCATATTTTGTATGAAATATTTGTAATATATACTTAAATGAGAAACTCGCTTGTACGGGCATCAAAATATGTATTTCTGGGCAACTGGTTATATATAGTGGTATATATTAAACATTTTAATGCAATAGACAACTTGCTGTAAGACTGATTTTTAATCTAGGCAAAAAAAGTAAATTCCCGTAAAGAACTTATTAAAATTAGTAAAATAGCAAAATTTGGTTACGAACTGTTGTAAAAAAGGAAAATATATAGCCTTGCGAAGTTTGCATATTTTGTATATGTTTGTATTACGTGCGGAAATTGTTACCATTTTTGAGCCGAAAATGGTAACACTGTTTCCGCATGTAACACAAACATATACAAAATTTGCAAACTTTTGCAACCAAGCTTTACAACATTTCGCAACCACATTTTGCAATTTTACTAATTTCATCATGTTCTTTTTAGCGCTAGCTGTGGTTTTTGATTCCCTTTTCTTTATACTTAGATTAAAATTTAGTCTAACATGCAAGTTGTCCATTGACTATTGTTACATTATCGACATTATCTTCGAATCTTTTTGAGAACGATAATCAGCTGTAGAAAAATCTCACTCTATTTTGTCTTCTTTTGTTATTTATATCCATTTTTTTAAATTTATTATTTTTAATACTTTGTGGTAATTTTATATGTTTTAATTTCACTGTAGATAAAGTTCATAATCACGAGTGGTATCAGTATACCTTACTCCCTCAGGCCTCAATTTAAAAATATTTGAAAATATATAAACAGCTACCATTTTATCAAACTTATATGGCTATATTTATTTGAAATGCTGGAACTTTGAAGGTGTGTAGTCAATAGTATATAGTAAAACTTTATTTGTAGTAGTAGTATATAGTAAAACTTTATTTGTAGTTGTAGTATATAGACCCATTGCATGCACTTGACGTCACAGCGCCAGTAACGATGTGATCTGGAGGACAAATTAACAATCTATGCATAATATAACTTTTGTAAACAAAGCAAATTTTGTAAAAGTTTATAATAATTTTGTATTAAAATGGTTAATTTTTTCGCTGTATGTGGTTGTTGTACCCGAACAGATATTGTTAGGGAGCATCTGGAGGACACTCTAAGGATTTGTGACGTCAGTGCAAAGGGTCTATAGTAAAACTTTATTTGTAGTATAGTAATCAATATAGTAAAACTTTATTATTTTAAAAAATTGTGTTGAAAACGTGATGCAAGCCGAGTTTTTTTTTTAACATTCCTTAAAAAAACTCATTAATAGTTCGGTGGTTTTATATGTGATAAACGGAAATCATGAGTTAATTTACATATACTTTAGCTTTGATTTTCTCAGCTTATAGACAACGTTTATTTACGACATCTGACAGGTGGGTCGTTTTTAAGTCATTTAAAACACTCGCATGCAGTTCGTGCTTTATCATGCAGTTATAAAACTGATACTAAGATATAAGAGGGTCTGAATGGGGTTAACTGACTACTGACATTTGCCTGAATTTTTGACTGACAACTGACAAAATATCCTAACTGACTACTGAGAAATGATGAAAAAAATTATAAGTCAGCATTTTGCAGTAACTGACTACTGACAGCTTGCAATATATCGCACTGACAACTGGCTTAAATTTTAGCTGACAACTGACACCCAAAGACCCCCATTAAGACCCTCATATAACTACAGCAAGATATTTATATCTTATATCAAAGTACTCCTGCTCCGCGTGTTTTAAATAGTATACTGATTCTTCTATAGGCTATAATCCCTGAAATAAATTGTTTCGAGTGTATATATATAACTACTCACTTAATCTTTAAGAATTATTAAAGAGGAGAATCTTTTGTATATTTTTCTACTTGACTTGTCTGTCAAAATTTTTAATTTTTGATACGTTTGTCAAGCGGCAAACAAACTTAAAATTATGTTTAGACGTAGTGCAGCTTTATCTGTATGCCGCTAAAATGAAGAGATTTTAGATGGTAACGCTTGAAGTTCAGTAAGTTTTGCTTATAATATTGCTGTATAAATATATGGCGTCAATTTTACAGCATCAATGATGATTTTAAAAATTTAAATTTAACTATTAATTTGTGTTACTCAACCGCCAGAACATTTCAGAAGGTTGCTAAACAAAGTAATTTTGAGAAGAATGCCAAAACGATTTTAGGTTTCGAAAAACTTTTCATTGCAAATGCGTGAAATAAAATAATATAAAAAAATAAAATAATAGAGAAAAAAATCGTCTCGTATTTTACATGTAAAGAGAAATTCAACTACATTACTTGACTTATTGACGTTTGTTGCCGTGGTTCAAGACATGTAGACAACGATACGGTATTATTATTTCGTTTCACTAAAAACTCGCGATTTATTTAATAATTAGTTTGAGTATGTGGTTTGAAAAATACTTGTAACGCCTGTTTTTTAAGGGGAAAATCTTAATCTGTTAAAATCGCTGCAATTGATTTTAATAATCCAATATAATTCTTTTGTTTTTCCGCATTCACAAAACCAAAAATAAAGAGAATTTCAAAATCACAAATTCTATGTTGTCCACAAAGCGCGATAGCTTCCAAAACTATTTCGATATTGACTGTGGGTTGTTTTGAACTTCGCTGCGCAGTAAAAAATTATAATTAAAAACTGCAACATCTGGTTTCTATTCTTTAACAGTCGCTGTCTGAGACACAATTAATCACACGGTCACAGCGGCAAGGCAAGCACTTGTGAGGAATGAACATTTTGAACATAAGTGTGTAAAAATGTACTTTATACTGTACACAGTTGTTGCGTTTTAATCAATTTTATGCACTGCGCAACATATGGTTTCTGTTGTGTAAAAGATATGCTCAAAGTACTGAAATTCATAATGATATATGAAACCCAGTTGTCTTATGCAGTTGATTGACATAGTGCGCGTCCAAGCTCAAATCAAGTGCTGCGCGTCGGCGCAATAGGTGGGCATACTTTGATAAAGCAAACGAAAATTTACATCAAACGCGCAAGGCTACAATTTTGTCTCGCGCAGTGAAGGTGCGCGCTGAAAGTAAACTTTGGAAGGATAAAAAAAATTTAAAAATTTTTTAAGTTTTCAAATTTGGGTGTAATAACACGTCTTGAAAGTGAATGAATTTTAAATCTACAAAAAATATGCTTCCAACTTTTAATTTTACCCCTGAGCAAGTAGCCTGCGTTTGCGAAGTGCTACAACAAAGCAATGACATGGAGAGACTTGAGAGATTTCTATGGTCTCTACCAGACCACGACAGTATTCAAAAAGAGGTTAGCGTGCTCAAGGCGACAGCTGCAGTGTATTTTCACCAGGGAAACTTCCAAGAGCTCTATCGACTTTTGGAGAGCAATAATTTCCCAGTATCTTCTCACAACAAGTTGCAGTCTCTGTGGATGAAAGCGCACTATATCGAGGCGGAGAAATTGAGAGGAAGGCCTCTGGGCGCTGTTGGCAAGTACAGAGTGAGACGGAAATTTCCTCTGCCGCGAACAATTTGGGACGGCGAGGAGACCAGTTATTGCTTCAAGGAACGCTCAAGGAATATACTACGTGAGTGGTACACGCATAATCCTTATCCTTCGCCTCGTGAAAAACGGGAGCTAGCCGAGGCTACTGGCTTGACAACTACACAAGTTAGCAATTGGTTTAAAAATAGAAGACAACGCGATCGAGCGGCAGAAGCTAAAAGCAGGTAGGCATAAACACTTTTTGCAGTAGACTAACACAATTCCTCCAAATGTACGTGTATAATTGTATTGTACACTTATGATGGAAGGATTATAGTTCACACAAGGTTAATGCATGCAAAGATTTTAACAATTCAGTTCATAGCTTTGTTATTACTGTTTAAAAATAGACGTCTAAATGTCTGGGTAACTATAGCAAGCCAATAAATCTAGACTAACTGCCCTTATGTACAATATATACAATTATACAACAATGTGCAATAATATTGTGTTGTGTTTGGCTCGCAATGATCAAGCGCGCTCTGAGACTCAATCGTTGGGAATAGTAGCGCGCTTTTATGTTTAAATATATAGTGCCTTCTGCAAGCTTCAAGAAATAACGGAATTCTCAACGACAACTTTTCTAATTGTATCTAAACAGACGGCTTACCAGAATTCGAACATCCTGAATTGTCTTTGAGAGGAAGTAATAAACAATGTGTTGAGATAGACGCGAAAATGGCCGTAATTACATTATGGCCTCCAGATCTGTGCGTGATCAACACAGGACGTTCCTTAATAGTAACTGAACACATCTCCATACCTTTGCGCATTTCACGTGAATATCTCTTCAAAACTGCTTCGACGCTTTCCCGTTCCGCGTCACGACGCGACGCGATGAAACTGAACGCGCTAATAATGATCCCGTAACATTTAATACGCGGCATTAAAACTATTTGTTTTCGCACGGATTCTATTGCATCGCGAAGAAACCTGATTTTGGTTTTATGTCATAGCCTGTTATGTAAGGTAATTTTATCTGCCTTTCGCCAAAAACGCGCGTTGCAATTAAGACGGATGCAGAGATAAAACGGCCAGAGGCTTGCGCGCAGCACTATAGGCCATAACACAAGCGAGCTAAAGCATTGCATATTTTGCGCAATTTATTCAAATGTGTTTACAGTAGCAATCTTGGGTGACTTGCGCACAGTTAGCGTAAAGGAAATACAGTTTGTTCAGCCTTAGGCAAATTTTAGCGAACATTCTGTTGTGATATTAGATACAGTCGTACAGATTTTGTTTCGGAATGCTGGATTCAATGCAATCTGATATGAATTGTGAGGGTATGAAAATCTATATTAAGCAGCTGGGGTTTGTGTCTGAAGTAGAACTACCCGAAAAAGATACCAAGTGATGGTAAAATATATGATCTAAATACAAGACTGTACACTCACTAGTTTAACATTACGAATTGGTAGCATTACGATTTACGGATCCTTATTTCAAAATTAATGTACAAGAATTCATTGTAGTGTAAGTAGCATTCTACGATAGGTTGTCGTTGTTTGGATCTGACCGATAAAAAGATTTTAAAAACCTACTTCGACATTTTGAGCGAACGTTTTCGTGAAGAGCTTAGTTCTACTGTTCTACTAGTAACGTTCCAGCGGAGGGCTCAAACCCTCGACGGAGTTTCTAATCGTTTTAAAAAGGTTTAAACGCAAACCACGGCAGCTTGTTGTAGAATACTACCTACACTGGACCCTTGACATGATATGATAATTTCAATTTTTTCCAGGGATCCGAACAATAACATAATTGACGACGCTTCCTCGCCGAAATTACACTTGGTCACACGGCATGGTGGTTTGGATGGCATAAAACAAAATGGCCTGACGCATGTGGATTTTCCCTGTCTACCACCTTCGCATACACCTCAACCCTCGATCAAACTCGAGAGCCATGAAATGCAAATGCTCGCAGCAAGTTCACACCACGACGCAATGTTAGCTCAAAATGTTGCCGAGTTCGCGCAATGTCTACCGGACACACACATGTTGAACACACTTACACCTTCGCTTGTTGGACTTTGACTCAAAAAATTGACATCGCCTTAAAGGTATACGGGCATAAGGGCATTGGGTTAACATTAGTTAGTTTTAAGAAAAACTTAAAATTTATGCGATGCTGTAAAAATCCCATGAAAGAACCAATAGATGAAGACCTATAGCAGCCTAAAATTAGGACAATTTGGCACCTATGAATACAAGAGCAACTTCAAGCTGAGAAATAGGCTGCTTCTTATAAAACCTAAACATTTGTACTTTAGATGAAGTCGAAAAAAGTTTCTGAGGCCAGTTACAAGCTTCTCTATATTGAGTATGTCTTATTATACTAGTGCAAGATAGAGTCTTGTTCACTGCTCAACGTTATCAGATTCGGAGGCTTTGAAATTGCAATTATCACTGTATAAACACTAGTGTATTGATAAGAAATTAAGAATACAATTTAAAACACTAAAAGCAGTAATAATTGTTTCTGAAATTATTAACCAGTAGAAATTAAAACCAGTCTAGAACCGACCTTGTTTGATTTCATATCATTTAATATAATCAGTACTGGTTAAGCCATTTCAGAAAATACTGATTCTTTTATGGGGTTTTTGCTACAAAGTTTAAAAAAAACTAACAACTCCTCGTAGGAGGTTTAAATTTGGGACCCAAAATCACACATTAATACCATTTAGTGTTGCGAAAAATTAGCAATTTATGCGTGTATATGCGCATCATGCATACATATATATAAAAATATGATTTTTTTTGTAGAAATAGGTAGGTTTCGCTAAGCACTATAATTGTCTATATCGTGCAGCAGATAGTGGTCAACCAGCTGCAGTGATCAGAGTGAGAAAATAATGTTCATTCTTTTCATTATATATATATCATTGTCGTATATAATAAACTTGAAATTTGTTGTTCAATTTGCCTGCCTCCTATACTCTATACAGTGTGAACATTTCTGAACGGCGTTGACCAGCATCTGTCTGTATCGTATAATATTCCTTCTTATCGAAACACACCAATATGTAAATATAGCTAGGAAAACATCATGAAATGAACAAAACAATGTAATTATATATTCGCGTGAGAAATTTGCACTATTAGAAGGCTAAAAGTCCTTGATTAAAGCATTACGACTAATGAGTAATGAAATATAATTGCACAACAATTCCTTAATGCAAACCGATTTAACTTTTATCCTGCATTAATGTCGTTCAATCCACTTAATTGTTTGCATTTAATGGACATTGTCATTGTGCCTAAAATTGTTTTTACTGTTTCAAAAACAACATTCAAACTTTAATGTACATAACTCATAAGAGAGTGTCTGTCAGAGTGATCATGAATTCACTGTCTTTTCAGATATTAAAATCAATTATATTTTTACGCAATTATACAGAGATTTTTTCGTAAATAACAAGTCAGCTGGCACTTCGTTCACATACACTCTTAGTTCAGTGTTTCTAAAATGAAAGCTTATAAAAAATAATGAAAATTCTGTCTCAACGAACTAAAGATCGATGAAGACTTTATATAGTCATTCTAATATTTCTCTAAATGTGAATAACCCTGCCCAGCTGGGCCTATAGTTGGCTAGTATTAGTATACGATCTTTCGCATCATAAATATTTCATGAGCAAAACAATGCATATCACAGTAATAAACGCCCATCAATTAACTCATGTATCGCTTTGAATTTCTCTATAAATGTAAGTCCGTTTGAGAAGTAATATAACAAACTCGACAGCTGTTTATTAACAGCGTTTTTTGATACACTTTTTGGTAGTTGCACGCCAGTAATAAACTCTTGTTTGCAGAATTGATTTTCACAGAATCTGTTGGTCTGCATAAGCTAGTGAGCCGGTGGAGACCTCGGCACGTTTATATACAGTTGCATGAAGTCGAGGTTAGGGTCGAAAGTAGAATTCTCAGCACCATTGTTACAAAAATGTGAATGTTAATTATTCATGATATCATGCATCACACTCGATAGCAGATGTTGTGCTCTTCCCAATAAGCTATCTGAAATTTTTATTATAGGATATAGCTTATGCTCCATTATACTGATTACTGAGTTGAATCTGAATTTGAACAACACAACTCACAAGCTATACGTACATTCTTGACATCTTGTAATCGCAGTTCAGTAGATTATATATAGTATAAATATAGAACCCTTTACTGGCTTTATATATGGAGATAAATTAAAAAAAAAACTAAAGCCGTACGGCGGAAAATTTCATGAAAATAAAAAAGACGTATTATAATATAGCTAGGAATATTATTAACAATACTTCGTATCATGTGACTCGAACTATTGAATGTGTGAATTTTGGTATTTCGCGTTGATCTTGACCCGACACAAACCCTAGGCCAAGTTAACCTAAATTCCTTATTGACTATTGTGTACCTATTGTGTATACGAAACTTGGGGGATATATATAGAACATCATCGGAAGTCATTTTTCTACAACAGCAAAGTAGTATGCATTTTTGTCGTTAATTAAACGCCAAATTCCTTTTAGATGAATTAAAATTTTAAAATCCCCAAGTGCTATATTGTTCATACTTGATGTTCAGCATCAGTTGCTGGTATACACATGCCAATAGAAAACCATGATCATCAATGTTGATACTTTTTCAACCTTCTTGAAAAGTTAGTTTTTGGCGGGTACGTATAAAGACTGCATATACCCTTCACCATCGTCAGGGGGACTTCTGTTTTATGGCAAATGTTAAACTGTTGTATCATTCAAACCTATATAGGCTATACTCTATATGGAAATCCATTGTCTTTTATTAAATAAACTAATTCGGTACAAGTTTATTAGCGTAGCATGACCAATTGGAGTTACCATCGCTATCTTCGCCACTGATAAACACACTACATATATATATATATACATATCTGCTTGAAAGCAGTGTGTTTTCCTTTATTCTACCATTTTTGCCCGGCTGAAAACGTGCAAGTGTCTTGTGTCACATCAGGTCATATTTAGTGTTATTCCCGCCGTGTTTGTCTGCTTCATGTTGGATATTTGAACGTGCAGGGGGTCGAGCATACTTGTTGTTTTGTTTAGATTCTTATGGAGATAATTTACTGGCTGTAGTGATAGATTTTTTCAACATGTTTAACGTGTTTGCTGGATGAAAGACACTATGGCGCGAAGCTCGAGTGTAGGGTGCGGCCGGTTTTATGTAGCATATGAACGGTTTTATGTACCTATAAGGAACGAGAAACTTTATTTTCCATCCCTATGCACTTATCATCAAACAGGCTTGGCGCTAGGTCTTCTTTCAAATTGAGGTATAGTTTGCCCAGTCATGAGCTTAGTCTAGTCTATGCCGCATGCGCGGGGGCATACTTTTCTGGAAAATTTGAAATCTAGAGTCTCTGAAATGATATTTCCTTCGTTCTGGGGAAGATTTCAACTGACTACCTCGACGATTGAAATTGATCCTATAACCATCCACAACAACTGTCTCCAGCCATAACCGCTGTCAAAAACCAACTCGTCTGCATTGATATATGGGCTATTTTGAATTTTGAAATTACCTGTTACGACTCGATACATTTTCAATACGTTACGAGTACGACTCATATCAGTGCTCGATACACTCATTTTGAAGAGCACATTTTGAAGATTTGCATTCATTCAGTATTAAGTTTTATACTTAAATTCACGTTTGCTTTTAATTCAGATAATTCAATTCGACAATTCGGTCCATATCCAAACAGCTCAATTTTTGCCGAATAAATCAACAATTTTGCCGTCGACTTGTTCATGAGTGGGGGTGTTCAACCCCCCTACACGCCCCTCTAGTGCCCCTCTAGTGCCGTCCCTACCACTAAATACGAGACTACTAGCGTATTCATACAGTGAAAAGAATTGACCGATTATTTTCTCACTCTGATAATGGCCAGTGACCAACCTTACTTGAATGTGGGGTACTTTTTTAGCCATTGCCATATTTTGACCTACATTTTTTGCTGATATCTATTCCTTTCAGGAAACGCAGTAAAAATATGACTATCAATGCCCAACAAAATATCTTTAAACCGAAGTCAAAATAAGCACTTGATTAAAAAGGTCAATGCAGCTGATGGTGGTCAACCTGCATGCAGTTATCAGAATGAGAAAATAATGCGAACTCTTTTCATTTTATGTAGTAGTAGTCTTGTATTTGGAGGCGAATAAATAAAATTGAGAATGAGAAATATGGTTTAATTCTCTTGGTCAGTGTAAAAAAAAAGCTCACAAGCGAGTTGTAATCATTAATTCGTATCTTGATTGCTTCCTACATAAATCACAATTATTCTGTAATCATTTCCTGTTGTTTTGACATTGTATCTTGTCTCCACGCTCTTGAAACATTCTGTTTATACAGCTATTGAGACTCTGTAGAGCTACAGTTTTCTGGTATCAGTTTCATTGGAGTCAAGTAGTAAGCATTACAAACTAGATCTACAGATTGTGCTCAATTCCAGAAAAGTTGGCACAGGAACAAGAAACTGAGCAGTCTGAGCTAACAAGAAATCTATAATGAAAAAAAAATGACGGTATTGACCACAACTGCAGGGAAATCAGCATGCATGATCGTGGCGGTCGTGTTGTTTATTTTACACCTTCCTGTCGCATGTCTTGGAAACGATTTATCAGATTTACAAACATTTCGCAAAACATTCAATAACTTGTTTGTATAAAGGACACTAGTTTCCGAGAGCAGCGAGAGCGCAAACGCGGCACGTTGCGTAATGCGTGCACGAGTTAGAGGCGGACCATTTGATTTTTGACGGAGTAGGGGAGAGGGGGTTGGGCGAGATTTTCATAATTCGTTGACAGATATAAAAAGGTGTATTGCTCGATATTTTTTCTGTCTGTTTGTTCTTGTGCGATTGTTTTAAAATTCAAGTGCCCGATATTTTTTGGGATTCTACCCCCCCCCCCTACCGCCCATTAAAAATCAATTGGTCCACCCCATATAAAATTGCCTGAGAACTCCCATTGTCACCATTGACAATTGTCTAAGATTATGGTGACACTTTACAATGGTGCCATTTGCTATCAGCGAGGGTTGATCAATATAAATCGTTTGCTATGAATTAAATTTACTTTCCAGCAAATACTTGACTTTCAGCCGAGGTTGGAAAAAAAAATGAAAAATGAAAATTTTTTCAAAATTCCGAGGTTGGAAAAAAAAGAGAATTTTTTCAAAATTCCGAGGTTGAAAAAACCTGAATATCAACCAGGCTTTCTGAATAAACCTGGCACTAAAAATACTTGGTATTAAACCTAATTAATTAACTAGCAATCTGAAAACTTATTATTTTTTCTTTTCAATTTGCATCTTTTTGACAAATCCACCTGTAGCCCAAATAGATCTTATTTTCTAATTGTTGTGAGCTGTTACTACTCAGAGGTTTTTACTACTCATCCTTAACAAACACCTGATCGCAGGCTGGACTGTAGCTGTCAACCATAGATCAACATAATATGTGCATTCAGCTGTGGAAAATAATATACCAAAATGTCTGCCTCCTCCGCAGGCTCCTCTATGTAAGATCAAATTTAAATATCAGTAATATATAGTTCAGCGCGTGCCCTGCAAGCCCGATAAAGGCGCACGCCCGCAACTAAGGACGAGCGCGCAAAGGAAACGGTGATGCTAGAAAGTATACTTCAAAATAAGATTTCCGTTTTTATAACGTAGAAAAAACTATCCTAACGCAAAACTAAACCCTAACCCTAATACTAACCCTAACGCTAACCCAAACCCTAACATAAGCTAACCTTAAGTTATTTTAAAAAATGATATAAAAACGGAAACCTTATTTTGAAGTATACTATCTAGCAATTGCCCAAAGGAAATCCATCTTTCCGCGCGCCTCCATCGCATTAATTATTCTAATTATTCGTTTTCCTCTTAACTATTCGTTAATTAATAAGCGTCTGTCTGGGGACGAGGCAGCCAAAATGTCGCAATTACGAAGGAAGAAAGTTGCAATTATCGGCGCTGGAATTATGGGTGTTTCAACTGCAATATGCCTCCAAGATGCAGAGCCGTCTTTAGATTTAGCAATTATAGCTGAGAAGTTTTCACCAGATAATACGAGTGATGGCGGTGCTGGTTTATGGTCGTCGATTCCAGGGTTTTGGATGAAAGACACCGTAAAACACAAACAAAGGTAGCCTGTCAAGTGTCCACACTAATGCACCTATCAATGTTTTCCCCCTGAGAGGGGGGTGCGGGCAACCCAGGGGAATTTTGACATTTTTAAAATTTTGTAGTCAAAATCCCCACTGTTGGGCAAGGAACGGCTGTCAAAATTCCCCAGTACATTCCTAAGATAACAAGGCACACATATGTTTTCCAATGCGAACATACAGTCTATACTGGTTTAAACTTGGTAAAAATTGAGACACTGTGTATAAAATACCTTTTCCGATGAAACTTGGCCTTGCTTCTCTGCCATACTTGTTACCAGGCAAAAGCGCGCAAACTTTCAAGATGGCGGATGTCAAAATTTCCCGACTCTGGGAGTTGATGCATAGGTCAAATTCCCCTCACTGGAGCTTCATAGTGTTGTCAAAGTCCCCTGGGTCGCCCGCACTCCCCCCTCAGGGGGAAAACAATGATAAGTGCATAAGGCTCCCTCATGCACCACCCCATGGAAAACTTGCACCCCTCCTGGCAGATGAGGCTAGATCTGCCGATTATCACCACTTACTCATGGAACTCTATGCATAGGCATATGGGATGAAAAATTTTAGGGTGATGACAAAAATTTGCCAAACCTTGATCAAAATTACCCAATCTATTACAAAACATTTTTCCATCATGAATTTCTCCAAAATGTTTGTTGGTAGGGGGCAGGAAGGGATCTTGCCAATGGAAAAAAATTTTCAAGGGTGAGGGGTGCATGCAGCACCTTTTCTGACATCCAATAGCCTGCTGAGGGCAGGCTCTCAAGCTGAATTGAGAGCCTGCATCGATGACTAATGAATTTGAATATCTGCCCCGTAACGTTCGTTTTTCCAAATATGGAATGTCTATCCTTTTATGGTGTTGTTTACAACTTTCGTGCAAACTAAATTTAGACCGTGCAAACTAAATTTAGACCGTACAGTTTATACTGTTTTTCGAAATATAAGATATTCAGGCAAAAGTTCCAATGTTTTAAATACTGTTTTCTCAAAACAGAACATTTTGTGCTTTGAGATAAGATGGCCAAGACCAATTTGATCAGTTAATGTGTTTTTTATGCATAGTGCTTCAGCAGTTGACATATATAGAGCTCAGCGGAAACATATAAATAATAGCATCTGACCAATGAGAATTTTGCGTCACGATTTGAGACGCAGATATTCAAATTCATTAGTCATCGATGCAGGCTCTGAATTCAGCTTGAGAGCCTGTTACTTAACATCAATATTTATGGCAGACAGTGATTTGCTTGGGTGTCTATCGGTGTGGATTTTGTGCATATTTTCCAATGCTGTTTGCAGTTTTTGCAAATTGACAGATTTCAGTTTACAATAGACCTTACCATTATTGACGTTTGACCCAATGACCTTGTTTTCGTGTCAGGTATTTACCTGTGTTTTGTGCACATTGGGTCAAAAATGAATAAATGGTAAGGCTCGTCTATTGCAAAATGTTTTATGTACAAAATTAATTTCTGCCAAAGCCAAAACTTTACAGCTAGTCTAGTGCATACTAGAAATTTAATATAATTACTTAATTAGCAATCTGATTTTACTACAGGAAGAGTACCTTTCATTGGACAGGGACAAAATCTAAATTTATATGGAATAAATTTCCTATAAAAATTCTATAAGTATATTCCTATGGGATTCTATCATTTCTATGTGATTTTATATCTAATATAAAACCATAAAATCTACAAAAGAACGATGAATTATCACGTTGCTGAATATTTTGTAAAGTTTACAGCCAGCTCATATCTTAATCTTATCTGCTTATTGATATTAATTTTGCCACGTTTAACTAATTGACAACAACAAAGTACTTTTGACAAAGAATCAAAGATTCTCCAACTCTGAGGTACAGAGAATAGATTACGATTACAACTTTACCTCAATATTCCCGTCCTGGTCAGTTTTATCTTCTTTGTTTTGTCTTCTCCTCATGGTATTTCATAAAAGTCGATAAATTGTGCACTAAAAAAGAAAAACTTCAAACAACTCACTCCATAGTTATAAATATTGCTTTCAAGTGTCTGGCCTGGGGAACGCTTAGTGACAAGACCGCGAACATATGACAGCGGTTCAATAAATTTGAGTTTGAGGGGGTAAGTACTTAGTCTTGCAGCGATATAGTGGATCCGTATATATTATCTTTCCGTACCATTACGTACGGTGCACTACAACTGCTTTAACCTGAAATTCAGGCCCTAGGCCTGAACTTCAATTAACTATTAACTTCATTTAACTGGCTATTACATTTAAAGACCAAACCCTCCCCGTCGGCTGTCGAGAACCTCTGCTTTTGGGTATATTCGTATTATTTACCCCTCTGGAAAACCTCTGGAATTGCAAAAAATCTATGTAGTTGACCCCTCTGAAAGAGACATGAACCCCCTCTGGAAGTGCATTTTTGCATTTTAACCCATCTGGAAACAGCAGTTTTCTCCCATTTTTCCCAATTACCGTCTCGAAAAAATTACTAATTGCCCCCTTTGGAAATTGAAGTCCTCGACTGGGGTCGGGTATTAAAAGAAAGCACAAGCCGGGTACAAGGACGCCGGAAGTAAATAAATCTGAATTGCTTTCGCATTTTCCAGTTCTTTTGTGCGTTTTTCTTGTACAGATGGAAATCGATTGGTTCGAATATGATACCATTATTACAAAATACCGTACGATATACCTCTGTCGCGCCAATCACAGTTTATCTAAAATGCAAGAGAGTTCAGAAACGGGAAAATGTACAATGAGTCTGCAATGTACTTGCGTACAAAATAAAGCCACACTGCACATATAGTGAACCATCTTATAATCATAAAGCACAATGCAGCAATTCATTCGGCGCAATCAGTGTCCCACTGGCCTTCCTCTACGAACCCCCATCCGTAAAAAAAAACACTGAAACTTTATCGCGAAATTATACTCTACGTCGAATTCTACACATAAGATCAATACTGATCCAATTCTACAAAACTACCAGTTTTAAATGCACATATTCTTTCCGTTCACTACCAGCACTGATGAATTTCACCGACAGTTATAGGTTTTCATTCCACTAAACTAATACTCATGTTAGGTGAGCTGCACGCAAAGAAAGGTGAAACACGACGTGCAGTGAACTGATAGTTGTTAGAACTAAATCCATAATAATCCGAGTTAACCTTCACGTTCAATGTTCTTTTTTCCATGTCCAGAGTTAAGGAGATATCATCATTGTAACCATGTATGACAGAACGCTCATGAACACACTTCTCTTCGCTTTGAGCAATATCTGCATTAATTTCGTCATAGTCAATGATTCCAACTTCCACACTGGGTTGACCATAGTAAACGCTACTCAATTGAACTTTCCACGTGTGAACTCCAGAATCAAAGTAACATCCACCTACTCTACAACAGTATTCGCCCTCGCGACCATCACCTTTCATTGTACGTCCACCATCAGTAATAGCACCTTTACCATAAGCATCACCTATAACCCACTTCACTTGTTTTGTCAAAGAACAATTCGGAGCAGGCGTTCCATTGATGGATACCTCGAACTTCAACAATGGCACGCCACCCTGACGAGGAGAAAAGCTGATAGTGTAAGAGCCATCTTTATTATCAGTAACGGCAACATCACTGACCTCCATTCCAGTGAACAACGGTTTGATGTCCTGACCTCCGTATCTTAATCTTCGGTTATTTTTGTCGTGACAGATTAATGTTATGGAGTACTGTTTCCCAGCATTGAATATTGCTTCAGTTTCTTGAAAGGAACTCGTGCAACTTTCAGGATTTGCGACAGCGTCATCTACGTCATACTCATTCAACAACTCTTTCTTTTTTTCTTGCGCCGAAGAAGGAATGATGAATACCATGTCTTCAGTGACACAAGGCTTCGTTTGATCTTTAACTGCTTTCACCTGCTCCAAAGACTGCAAAATGTACTTCTCCCTGCTCAATATTTGAACATCGTTGCCATTCTTGAACGCCTGCTCTGTAAACTCGATGCTGCTTTCACAACTTGCTAAAGCCACTTTTAAGACCTCTAACTGTGCATGAATCTGCTTTTGTTTGGAATTCGTGATTGAAGTCGCTTTTTCCATCATTTCTCTTTTCCGAGATTCCACGGCTTTCACAAGTTGATCGAAGTGCTGACTGATTTCGGAGACTGTCGACGTCTTCTTAGCCTCCAGACTTTCATTAAATTTCTTCAGGTTTACGATTGCGTCTACCACTCTGCCTTTTCTTTGCTTTATTTCGTTAAGATTGCTTTGCAAATGACGTTTTTCTTCGACAGCGACTTCTTCAACAAACCCATATTCATGCTGCCGATGATCAACGATGGCACAATCTCTACAAATGGTAGTTTGACATGTTTTACAAAACAACTTGATGACTTTTTGCTTGTGCTTGCGACATCGTATCTTCTCAGCAATGTTCTGGGGATCTGGGTTGGATTTCAATTCCTCCATGGTCACCAGCTCATGATGTTTTGTTGACCGAGTTCGTTCATGCGACTCAGTACAAAACTGACACAGAAACATTCCACATTCATTACATCGATTTTGAGCAGCGTCTTCACTGTCACAGTTTTCGCAAAGAATCTTCTTCGCAGAGGGCTGGTCATTCGTTAGTGCCATGGTTGCTAGAAGATTGTTGACGAAAAAGTTTGATGGCAGAGTGGAAACAGTCTTTTCGTCGACCTATGCAGTGGACAACGTTTTTAGAACAAGTAAATAAAATTATTAAAGGGGCTTTCTTGACGTCCAGCTATCAGTTAGCTAGCCACGACTGAAAAAATCAAAATATTCGCTTTAAAGAAAAGAGCAATTAAAAGGACTAAAGTCTTAAAGCTTACGATAAACAACAAAACCCAGACTTTAGTGGCCTTTAGTACATAACAAGTTTTTAGATCTATCGAAGGTTTTAGTAAATAAAGTAATTTCACGGGGTTATACAAGCCATGCATACATACTGTGGATTCGGCACGTCCACACGTTTGTAATTTTCAAGAATGGAAAAAAATAAGTTCCCTCAAATTTTTGCTGTAACAGCCAGAAAAACGTTAGACTGAAGCTGTACAATAAATCCAGCATAATGATATGATACAGACAGTATAGTTATCTGATCAGTGAACCTTTATGTATAATAATCAATGTTTGTTCCAAAAACTTATAGGTGAAAAAATGGACGGTGTTTCATTCAACCAGCTATAACAAGCCAAAATTTCTAAAATACTAAATTAGTCCATAAAATATAATAATTCAGAAACATTTTTTTAATTTTTTGCATCTTTTAAATGAGACCCACCTTGTAAAATTCTGGCTAGCCCCATGCACAATTCGAAATAGCCACCTGTCTACCAGCCGATTGCAGGTGATTTAGTTTCTACGCTGTTTATGAGGTACCAAAAATGATTTATCAACATTGTGTACACAATGATTGGTGTGCAGAATGATGATAAATCATTTTTGTCAACTGTATTTGATGTTACAGTAAATATATTGTATGCAAGGGAAATCAATTAATCCAATCACTACACACATAGTTGTTTTGATACAAAGCGAGGAAGAATTAACCCATTGAGTTGGCAGTGTAAAATCGTTGAAGGTTTCCTTCAAATTCTCAAATAGCATGCAAATCTTCATTCAAACGAATTTCCTGCAGCTGTTTAAGCAGTGCTTGTGTGCTCGCCTATTTTTTCCACCCCTGCTAGACACATGGGCAGATGATTAAAGCATTGAA